GGCAATGTTGCGACTTCGTAAATCAAGGGGAAGGGTACTATAGTCTTGAAGGGTACTATAGTCTTAAAGGGTACTATAGTCTTGAAGATGACTTCTAAAAAAGAACTCAAGCTGTATAATGTGTTGTATGTACCTGACATATGAAAAAACCTTGTTTCTGGGACATTTCTAAGTGTTCATGGCTTTAGAATGATGTTTGAATCCTAAAAGATAATTTTATCCAAAGGGGGAATGCTTGTGGGTAAAGGATATGTATTGAATTACATGTTGAAACTCATTGCTATCTCTGTAAAGCCAAAAGCGTGAATAAGAATAAAGTTTCTTCTTTTATTTATATGCTTAAGTCATTTAATTTATGGCATGTTAGGCTTGGACATGTTAATTATGATGCTCTGCGAAGACTAATTAAATTAGAACACATTACTTCGTTTCATATTATTTATAATCATAAATGTGAAACATGTGTTGAGACAAAATTAACAAGGTTGTCTTTTCAAATTGTTGAAAGAAATACCAAGCCACTTGATTTAATTCACAGTGACATTTGTAACTTGAAATGTGTCCAAACGAGAGGAATGAATAAATATTTTATTACCTTCATTGACGATAACACAAAGTATTGCTTTGTATATTTCCTTAAGAGCAAAGATGAAGCTATAGAGAATTTATACTCTATAAGCAGGAAGTCGAAAACCAACTTAATAAAAAGATTAAGATGATAAGAACTGATAATTATGGTGAATATGTTGAACCATTCGGTGAATTTTTGATAACATGGTATTATTCATGAAGTAACACCACCTTATTCTCCTCAATCAAATGAATTAGCCAAGTAGAAATATCGAACTCTAAAAGAAATGATGAATGCCTTATTAGGTAGTTTTGGGTTATCACATAACATGTGGGGGAAGTTGTCCTTTCAACTAATTACCATTTAAATAAGATACCTCGAAAGAAAAAAGACAAGACACCATACGAATTATGAAAGGTCGGAAACTTTCCTACAAACATTTGAAAATGTGGGGGTGTCTTGCCAAGGTAATGACCCTATTACCAAAGCAAATGAAAATAGGTCATAAAACTATGGATTGTATTTTCATTGGCTATGCATAACATAACAATAAATATCAATTTCTTGTGTATGAATCAAAGAATCATGAGATTAAGAAGAATACTATCATGAGATTAAGAAGAATACTATAATGGAATCAAAGAATGCATCATTCATTGAAAATATTTTCCCTTATGAATCTAAGGAGGTTGATCAAAGTTTAAAACAAACTTTAGAGACTAACAATGAGGATAGTATAGATGATCAACAAGATCCTAAAACTGAAATAGAGCCAAGAAGGAGTAAACAAGCAAGGGTTGAAAAATACTTTGGGTCAGACTTCCTAACCTTTATGTTGGAGGCTAAACCTCAAACATATTTTGAAGCTATATGATCCTCTGAAAGCACCTTATGGAATGATGGCATTAAGAGTGAAATAGATTTCATCACGCATAACCTTACGTGGGAATTAGTGGATCTTTCTTTGGGGATTAAACCATTAATTTATAAATGGAGTTTTAAATGTAAAATGAAAGCAGATGGAACAATTGATAAGTACAAGGCCAGATTGGTAATAAAAGGATACCGACAAAAGGAGGGCCTAGTCTATTTTGATACATACTCTTATGTATCATGAATAACATCCATAAGAATGATACTAGTGATTGCCGCTTTGCGAAATCTAGAAGTAAAACTAATGGATGTTAAAACAACTTTCTTAAATAGAGACCTTGACGATGAAATTTACATGGAACAACCTAAGAGTCATGTAGTTCTAGGTCAAGAAAGGAAAGTTTGTAGGTTGGTGAAGTCTTTGTACGGAGTTAAACAATCACCAAAACAATTGCATGAGAAGTTCGATAATGTCATGATGACAAACTGCTTCAAGATAAATGAGTGTGACCAGTGTGTATATGTCAAAATAACAAGCATAAGATATGTTATTTTAATTTTTATATGTTGATGGCATACTCATTGTTAGAAGTAACAATGAGATGGTAAAACGTACCAAAGACGTGTTACATATAAGATTTGACATGAAAGATATGGGATTAACCGATACGATTCTTGGCGTCCAAATTAGAAGGTCATCTAAAGGCCTTATATTAACATAGTCAAAATATGTGGACAATGTCCTTGAGAAATTTAACAAGGATGGTTTTGGTATAGTCATAATCCCAATATACTTTTATTCACATTTGTCTAAAAATCAATGTGAAAGTGTTCACCAGATGTAATACAATGAGTTGTACAAAACCAGACATCACTTTTACTGTGAGAAGTCTAAGTAGATTCACGAGCAATCTAGGTGAAATCACTTGAAAACGATAACAAAGATACTGAGATATCTTAAATTTACTAGTGATTATGGTTTGCATTATTCCAGAGATCTTATTGTCTTATAAGGATAATTCGATGCTAATTGGATATCTGATATTCATGATACCAAATGTACAAGTAGATATGTATTCACTTTAGGAGGAGGAGTTGTGTCTTGGAAATCCTCAAGACAAACAATAATTACTATATCCACAATGGAATTTGAGTTTGTAGCTCTAGACAAATTTGTAGAAAAAGTAAAATAGCTTCAGAACTTTCTTGAGGATATTCCAAAATGGTCGAAACATGTGCCTACAGTATGTATATAATGTGACAACCAAGCAACAATTGCTAGAGCACAAAATTTCATGTATAATGGGAAATCGAGACATATGCGTCGTTGACATAATACCATTAGACAATTGATCTCAAATTGAGTTATCTCTATTGATTTTGAAAGATCAAAGGATAACATCACAAATCCGCTAACTAAAGGGTTAAATCGAGATCAAGTTGAGAAAACATCTAAAGGAATGAGACTAAAGCCCATGAAATTTAAAGGTGTTATGTGAAAGAAAAACCCTACCTTATTGGCTGGAGATCCCAAGATCTAGGTTCAAAGGGACAACCTAATTGCATAACATGTGTACGGTCACTGTGGGGGTTTTTATCCCAATTATGCTTCTATGATGTAAACAGTTATCAAAGTTGTAAAGGTTAAGTAAAAGCTTTTAATGACCGTTGTGTGCCGTGGTGAGCTGAACAACATAAGTCACCTGTGTGAGAGTGAAGTGGGGTCACTTAAAGGATACTATTGGGCATAGTTATTTTAAACTCTTGCAGAACCAGGCAGATGTCCATGGCTTTATGGACATACCCATGAGAACTAAATTATTTTCAGAGGGTACTTGTGTGAAGTATGTCATCGTTTACACAAACATCATAACAGTTCATGGACATCAAATCTACTATTTAGTTAGTAAACATATTATCATAAGGGAAGGTTCAGAGGAGAACACCTACCTATCATATGCAACTATTGATCGTAGAGGTTATCACCATATCATGCCAAAATGTTTTTGATTAAATCATCAGTTTCATCCATGCGGGGATTGTTGGAAAAAGGGGTGAATTACTTTGATGGATTTAATATTTATATTAAATTTAGAGTCCTTTTAAATATTACAGATTAAAATATTTTATTGAAATTGAATATTAGTAGCATAATTACTCTTTGAATATATCAATTTAAAAAGGTATTATTATCTATTTAACTTTGAATGTTAAAGATAATTATATACTTTTGAATATTTCAAATTAAAATAATATTTGTTTAAGTTTGATTAATGAAAGGAGTGTATATATGTTTAATATTTTAAATTTAAAAGATATTATTATCTGTTTAAATTTAGATATTAAAAGATGATTAGTTGTAGTAAAACTCTCTTGAAAATAGTGAGCAAATATGTTAGATTTTTTCACATCTAAAAATTCAAGATTTTTTTTCTTGAAAAAATATTTTCTCTCATTTTCAGAAAATATTCTTTTTTTTTCCTTAATTTTTTTCGATGATGGTCGAAGACAAAGAAAGTTTGTGATATCTACTGTTGTGCTATAGTAGCTGATCATATAGTTGTTGTATCCTAGGAGACAGACGACCAAAGGTTCTCGAGCACCAAGGAGTGGTTGAAAATCCGTATTAAGGAAATTGTGTAGTTATAGGCGTCAACTAATTTCGATCACATGATTAAAAATAAAAAGAGTATTTTATCTTTCCTTTTTTTATTAAAGAATATAGTTTTCTCTTTTATTTTCTTAGGTTTCAATTTTTTTCGGATTGTTACTCTGGTTAACAAGACGCACTGCCTTCATTGCATTTTGCTGAAGACGAGCTGAGGAGAAAACGTCTTCACCTGATTCTTGTAACTTTTGCCCCTTTAATAAATTCTTGGTGGTATCATTTTAATATTTTTTTTATTAATCTGGGGTAAGTACACGGCAATATTTGTTATAAGATAACTCTCAACCTCTTAACATTGAATGTTCATACCCCTGACGTTCTCGGTGCTCGAATCCTTGTCTTAAAGAACAATAACCGTTCCTTTACCACGGAGACCACTCAGTTCATGCTATTTTAATTATTTTTTAAAAATGCATTATTACTTCTGTTTTGTCAATATAACGAATTTATATATATATTTTGAAAATAAGACCTTATTGCTCATCTATTTATTTATGGATTATATTGATGTTAATTGTCTTATTTAATATTTATTGTTTATAGTTATATATTTTTAAAATTTAGTATTTATAAAAAATTAAGATTTATAATATAAAGTGATTTAAATATATTAATTTAATTAATTTATTTATTTATTTATTTTAAATATTAGTTTTATGAATTGTGGCAAATGAAGAAAATGATTTACAATTCTTTCTTTCTTGGATCAGACAAAATTAAACCCCATTTCTTGGATAAAATCTAAGACATGGCCAAAACAAATCCAGATGACTATTCATTAATTTCTTTTATTTCATTATTATATTAATTATAAATCAAAACTCGAAAAGCCGATCTCCGTCTTGAATCCTTTCTTCCCCGAATTCTCTCAAGACAACTTTATTTTTCTCTTCAAAATAATACATTTCTTAATTCACACTTCAAACCTTTCTTTTCTCTTCTTTTCTCTCTCTACACACACGAAATATATATAATATATTTTTTTTTGAATTTTTTCTCCAATAAGCTGAGTATAGGACTCAAAGGAGGGGATTTTACAATGCTAGAATGGCTCAGTACAGGCAACAGTGTCAATACAGCAATGGAACGACGTCAGATCACGTGGCCATTGGTGTTCGAGGAGGTGGAGGAGGCGCCAGCAACAAGGCGGCTCGATGGCGCCGATCGGGACGCGCCGACAGGAGCCGCCGAATCTCCTTCGGCTCTCTCGTCTTTTTTTTGATCCTCGTACTTGTTGTAACCGTTCTCGTATACTATTACATCTCTGCTGATAATAATGACAATCGTAAAGGTCAGTAAATTTCTACCGCAAAATTTTAGAATTTTCGATCCCTTTTTTTGTTGGTTTGCTTTGAACAAAAAGGTTAGAAAGTGAATTGCCAGATTTCAGTTTGCTACAGTCTATCAGCGCATTTGTATAGATTAATTCCTTATTTATAGATCAATGCTAGTTGTTCATAGCTTGCATTCGTTTGGATTCAGAAAAAATGGGTAAAAAAGAGAGGAGCAATTTGAATGAGTTTAGGTTCCAACGATAAAGATAAATGATTATTTGTGGTGAAAATAGACTAGAATGAGTTTGGGTAAATGTTTGTTCGCTTTGAATGAGTGTGAAACTTTGCATTGTTTAGAAAGTGCGATTTTATCATGTTTGCACAACCTTTTAATGTCATTAGTTGAATACAAATTTGATTTGTTTCGGTTAAATGAATGGAATAAGTTTCCTTTTAGGGATTCCATTTGTGTTTTTTCTTTGACTAATTATCATAGAATGAATGTTGTTGATTAATTTTAACATTCCAAAAATGAAAGATCAATATGATTTGTTACTGAGGGAACTTATTAGCTAGATGTATGTTGCTGCAGATTTAATTAGTTACCAATCTGAGGATGATGATTTGAAGGGTGATTCTGATTTCCTCGCAAATGTGACACGAATGGAAAATTTTAAAATCCTTAACTTTGGCAATGGTTCTGTATCACATGGCCGTGATTCACGATATTGGGATACGGATGATGGGAGAAGGGATGATGATTACAATGAGGATGTGGTAGAGAACAATATCACGAATTCTAGAGATGTGTCTCTTGGAGGTGGCCATGTTCCCACGAAAGTAAAGAATAAGAAGGGGGCTTCCCTTGATTCTGATAGGAACATGGATCATAGAGTTGTTGGGTTGTACAATGAAGCTGGGCGCAATGAATTAAAAATGTACGAAGCAGAATATGAGGCATCTCTGAAGAATGGGGGCAAATCAAAAAAAGAACTTGGAAATAGTCATCAGCTTTCTGACATTATGGAATTTGGAACACGTGATGAGGTTGATAAGGTTGATGATGCTGATGACCAGTATAATGATGGGATTGATTCTAGTGATACTCAAAAGGATGAATATGATGATCTTACTCGTGTCAAAGAGGCTAGGGAAGAATCAACTTTATCTAGAGAGACCTCTCAAAATGTTGATGCTGGTTCACATCATGTTGGTTCCTTTAGTCGTAAATCTGGAAAAAACCCTAAAACAGGTTCAAAGAAAAAGCAAAGGCGCCGGAAATTTTCAGGTACCTCTACAATTTTTTTAAGGTCATGTCAGATGTCCTTATACAATGCATAAACTTGTCTGTCTGTGTGCATTAAATTAACTTGATTGAAGATGAAAAACAGTGCCTAGATCTTCATACTTAAACTACTCTGTTTTTTCCCTCCCCTTTTGGGTTGGAAGTAAATTTGCAGTTCGCATCATGTAAGGATTGAAAGAACCTTGAGAATTAGGATTCATTTGCTGGGCTTGATTGCAATTTCTGTTTTATTAAAAGTAATTAGAAGGAAAGAATGTAAATTTAATATGTAGATCTTAAAGCACTAGAGGTGGGAGATGAAAAACTGAAATTGTTGATGGCTTATGCAAACATATTTCATACCTTTAAATTTTACCCATCCAAAAAGCCGCAAGCTTTTTTAGATTCTGATGCTAATTCTTAATGCTATGATAAAACATCTTCCTTAATACTATGATAAAACGTCTTCCTCGATACTATGATAGAACGTCTTCCTTATTTGGCACCCTAATCATATTACCAAAGGAGATTTAAAAAATTGGGTAAACAATGTGGATAGTCCGCTGTGTTTTTGGTTTGATTGACTTTGGTCACCAATTTAAAAATTAAGGGGCAATGGTCCCTAACGTTATCAATCCATTCAATTTTAGCCCCTCGGCCATTAATTTTTGTTAACCCTATTTTGTTTAAGTCCCTAATATGGTAGAGGGACTAAAATTGAACGAGAGTTAACGGTTGAGGGACTAAAATCGAACTAATCGATAATGTTAGGGACTAAAATCGAACGAATCGATAATGTTAGGAACCATTCCCACTTAATTTTTAAATTGGTGACCAAAGTTGATCAAACTAAAAACATAGGGTAGTATCTGCATAGTTTACCCTAAAATATTTAATCCCAAAGCAGTCTAGGAATGGCTAAAACACCAACTTTATACTAACATGTATATCATACATCTGATGCTTAAGCAGAACTTTAAAGTTGCAGTGACATGGGATGGTAATTGGTCTCTTTCATATTTTTATCTCCCAACTCTAGTATTTTAAGCTTTTATAGGCCCTTATGTATCTACACATGAATTAAAACATCTGTTGCTTTTAGGTTGGATACTTAACAATCACTATTTAAAACACTAAAGTACCAATATAGCTTCATTGAAATTAATTTAGCCTAATTTTAATCTCTTTACCAATATACATCTTGTTGAAATTCTGTCATTTGGCAAATAGTGCTTCTTCTCCAAATCAAGTCAAGGATATTTGATATTATGCTAGCTTTTTGTTCTAAAAATGGAGTTGGGGTCCATGCATTTTAAATTCATATATCAATTCCTGTATACAATTAAAGGCGTTCTTAAATATATATATATTTGCCTCTTATTCTTGAATAACATTTTACTTTTAATTCTTAGGTTCTTGTGAGATGAAATTAATGAATTCAACACACCTTGTGGAGCCTGTAGAAAGTAGAAAGTTTGCGCGATTTTCCTTACAGTATACACAAATGGAGGAGAAACCTGAAAGAGAACAATGGATACCTAGATTTGCTGGGCATCAGAGTTTACAAGAACGTGAGGAATCTTTTTTGGCACGCGACCAAAAGATAAATTGTGGGTTTGTTAAAGGTCCACAAGGATATCCAAGCACTGGCTTTGATCTGGCAGAAGATGATGTGAATTATATCAGCAGGTGCCACATTGCTGTCATATCTTGCATTTTTGGAAATTCAGATCGTTTGAGGACACCTGCTGGAAAAATGGTAAGAGGTTAATCTTTTTCTGGGAAACATGGTTCAAGTGTCCTTAGTAATTATTTTTTAGCGTATGCATGTCTATTTAAGAAGTGGCTATCCATTTCTTCTTCTGTTTGATAACCTGAGTTCAATAATTAATTAATAAGAAACTTTATGTTGCCTATTGACAACCTCACGATGCACATATATGTGTATTTAGCCATACATGAGCAGAATTAGTTCGCATTCTTGTTATTCTTCTCCTTTCTTTGCTCATGCGACCTTTGACCCTGTTATCTCTTCTTTAGACCGCCTCAACTCATTCCTGTCCTCTTCTTCTGGATGTCACTGATAATTATTGGGCACATGCTATGTTGATGTTCTTATTAGATTTGTATTTTATTGTAGAATTATCAAGTTTTGTCTTTTCCTTTTTGTATGGCCCTTTCCAGGTTTCCTGAATGCCATAGGCTGCATTAATTCTCAAAATTTAGACGCAAAAAGAAAAATATTTTCAGAAGCCAAAAGAAAATGAAATGGGTTCTATATGCATTCCATAGATTGGTAACTGTCCCAAATTTTTTAGTTTGGCAAAGATGCTCCAGAAACATTGTTTGCTTCAATAAGGTATGAAGGAAAGATCCTGTGCTCACCAGTCTTTCATGTCCCCATCCCCTTCCTTAACCCAATCCCTGACAGATTGGGGGAGACATTAGAACGTTCTAGAGGTAAGAAAATTTAGGAAAAAGTGAAACCAATTGCATAGCTCGACATGTGAAAAGCTATGGCGCAAGCTCTAACTGGGAGGAGGGAATTGCCACTTTTGTTGGTCAGTATTTAAATTTGTTAAGACTACTTTGCCAGATGGTTTCACTCGTACATGTATTGTTACACTGTTCATTCTTTAAGGGTTTAGCGTGCGCAACCATTTTGTTTATCATTGAATTACTCGAGTAAATGCAATTTGGATTATAACAATGACACAATCATTATTTTCTCATGATTCTAGGTCACTCGTTCGTCAAGGAAAAATGTCTGCTTTGTTATGTTTGTGGATGAACTTACGATGCAAACACTTTATTCAGAGGGTCAAACACCTGATGGTGGCTTTATTGGTTTATGGAAGATAGTGGTTGTAAAGAATCTTCCTTATGATGATATGCGCAGAGTGGGGAAAATACCAAAGATGTTACCGCATCGACTATTTCCTTTTGCAAGGTTTGAACTTGATATTTGGGGATTTTTATTTCAAAATGCATCCACTAGTATTTTGTATGTTTCAGATTTTGTATAAGTTAGTATTTCCTCTTGTATTAGTTAAAAATACTCCAACCCTAACTGACATAGTGACAGCTTAGCTTAGCATTTTATTCAGCATATTATGACCGTTCTCTATTAGAGATAGTAAGCTGTTTATCGTGATTATATCTTTTGTGAATGATATTATTTAGACAGGCTTGCATTTGTTTCTTAATGCTTCCGGTCTCAGGTACTCAATCTGGTTAGACAGCAAACTGCGTCTACAACGTGACCCCTTACAACTCCTGGATTACTTCTTGTGGCGAAAAGGTCATGAGTATGCCATTTCTAGTCACTACGACCGTCATTGCCTATGGGAAGAGGTTGCACAGAATAAGAAGCTAAACAAGTATAATCATACAGTCATTGATGAGCAATTTGTATTCTATCAGGCCGATGGACTGAAAAAATTCAACTCTTCTGATCCCAACAAGCTTCTTCCTAGCAGTAAGAATTTTTTACACCCAAAAGCACCCCGGCAGGTATTTTCTTTTTGACAGATCGTGATTTTATTTTGTTGTTTGAAATGTTTGGCATTATGTGTACGCAGATGTGCCTGAAGGTTCTTTCATTGTTAGAGCACACACCCCAATGTCGAATTTGTTCTCATGTCTTTGGTTCAACGAGGTTGAGCAGTTTACTCCCCGTGATCAGCTAAGTTTCGCATATACATACCAGAAATTGAGAAGGATGAATCCCGACAAACCCTTTTATCTAAACATGTTCAAGGTAAAGAACCCAGACAAAAAATGGTTTCGGATTTCAAAAGTGAGCTTCTATTCATCTCCGGTTTCTTTGATTGCAGGATTGTGAGAGGAGAGCCGTAGCAAAGTTGTTTCGACATAGATTGGATGAGAAGCGAAATATTCAACAAAAGGCAACATTGTAAAATGTGTGTTGTATTATCAAACCTTTGATGTTGAATATAAAAAAGAAAAGAATTTTGTACACTTTCCTTAGCCATGCTGGTTCAGTTGCTCATAAAGGAAGTAACAAGTTGCCTTAGTTGCTGGCTGTTGAGATGGTACGACAGGATTTCGATGAAATGGGGGTCGGTATGAGGTTTCTCGAGCTTGAGATGTCGAGCATGGTTGGGGAAGCCAATTTAGCTTTCATTTACTAGAAATCGTCTGCTTCATTGTTCATGTTCTTTGTTCTTTTGTTCACATTGATTGCTTCGTCCGTAGGTAATGAAGCACCAATACTAATGTACTTGTTACACCTAAAATTTGTTATATTGTTGCTATTATTATCATTTTTTAAACCACCTTTTAGTTCTTATATAATTTTTAGTACACATGTTTATAATTGATAAATATTTTACTGAAAAACTACAAGTTATTAATAAAGGATTAATATAAAAATAAGTGACAAAATTTTATTTCGAAAAACGATTTGGTATCTAAAAGAATTTTCATTAAAAATTAATGCTTAACGTTTTCTCAGTTACACTTTTAGGTGTCAAATGTTATAATTTTAATTTTTAAATTATAAAAATATTATTTTTAATAAAAAGAAAAAATTTAAAAAAACTTAATTTATTTACAAAAAATCCCCAAACTTTTAATGAAATTATAAAAAAATAAAAAAAAACTAAATATTTTTATTTTAACCCGTTACCATGGTGAACATCGGAGGAGCGCCGAGGGAGCGATGGCGAGGATGGGTTTTGAGCAGAATTGGAAGGTGATTTGAATGGTGGTGTCGGCGTGGCATATGGACATCAGGATCAACCGAAATCGATGAAAAATAGTTACAGTGTCTTAAAATCCGACGAAACTTCAAACACTTCTCCACGAAAAATGACAATATCTTATGGCGAAAGGTCATTGGGAGTTTGATCAGGGGTCGATGTCGGTTCCGATGATGGTGGCAGTTCACCGGCTGGCATAAAAGAAGGGGGAAATTGAAAAAGGAAAGGGAAAGGGGGAAAAAGGTTGAAGAGGGTTGCTGTTGCATCTTCGGGGGTGTTTCTTTTTTTTACAAAAAACTGTAAACACTCGTTTTTGTTCGGTTCTCATGTTATTAACTTATTATTAATATTATTATTATATTATTATTTTATCGTCATTATTATTAATTATTATTAATACATTTTTTGCAGGCCAACCCAATTACAACAACAAGCCCAAACCCGCTCAGCAGCCCAACAAATCAAACCCAACAGACCAAACCCAGATTATAGGGCTCGATACCAGTCCAACCCAAACGGGACCCGAACCGGCCCACAAGCATCCCAGATTAGAGTTTCAACCCTAAGTTTATCATCCAGCCACCACCACCACCACGTGACATGAACGCACTCCTCCAGATCGATGCGTGAGCCACCGTCGAGCAATCCCACGCTGTCATTGTCATAGGGCTATGCCAAAACAGTACACAAAATAGTGGAAAATTAACCATGTCAGAGAAACATCAACCTAAATCTAAACCCTAAAATAAAAATAACCTAATCCCTAAAAATTTGAGATTCAGCCTACCCCAAAAATCAAAGAAATCATTACTTTAGTGGTAGCTTCACTATTTTGCCAGAGCCATCAACAAAGACAGGCAATAAAAACAAAGAAGATACCGAGAGAATAGAGGATTCAGGGGTGAAAAAAAACACAACAACCCACAGATTCATTCAGAAAAAAACCCAAGAGAAAACCATATAAAACACAGAAAAGAGCCATTAAAAAAACGAAAAAAAAAACTTACCCTTTTCATCGAACTCAACGTTGGCTGGTTTGATCGGAGACGAGGAAAGCACGTTACCAAAGGTGAAGAGCTTTGTTGCTAAGTAAGTGTTATATTTGGGGTTTCGAATAGAACGTTTATAGTTGAGGGGTTCGAAAGGTCATATTTTTAGGGGATAAAGAAGAATAGAGTAGAAAGGGAGAGGCTTTTGGGTGTTTGGGGTCCCTGTATCCACCGATTCATGGTTGTCGGGGTTGTAGTTCTCCCCTTCGACAATAGAGAAAGGGAAGGTTAGAGAGGAAATGAACGAGCGACTGAAAAGGGGTGAGGGAATGGGGAAAATAAGGTTTCAAAAAACCCTTAAACGAGATTATATGTCAACACTCGAACGACGTCGTTCTGACAGAGGTGAGTTCAGTGTGTTTTGCATTTTGGGTTATTAGCAATATTAATCCTCCTTGCTTTATAAACTCACCCGCGTGTTCTGGGATTTAGGGGTTAATATCGAATTTGGTCCCTTTGGTTTGTAAACTTTTTGTTTTCACTAATGAATGAAGCTTTAATCTCTTTTTATTTTGAGTTCCTAGCTTGTTTAACATTGCAATTTAGTCATGGTTTGCTTTAATTTTTTTATGGTAATATTCCAGTTTGGTCATACTTTTTTAGTATATATGTATTTAAGTAATGCATATTTTATGTATTTCATTCCGGTTCTTATTTATTTATTTATTTATTATTATGGTGTTTTTGTTTAAATTATTGTTGGTGGCCTGATATTTTATATCTTTTCATTTTAGTCCTAAGTATTATTAGTGGGTTATTTCCATTTTAAGTTTCTGTATTTGTTTAAAATATTGATTGTGGATCAGGTTTATTTTTATTTTGTGTTCTAGTCCTTTAAATGTCTGTATTTATTATTTAGACCCTTAACTTTTGGTTTTTACTATTATAGCCCTTTAAGTTTCTATTTTTCCATTTTAGTCCCTTAGATTTCTATTCTTACTGTTTTAGTCCCTTAAGTTTCATTTTTCTCTATTTTAGTACTTTCAATTTCTATTTTTGTTATTTTAGTCCTTTAAGTCTCTTTTTTGCTATTTTGGTCCCTTTAAATAGGAATATGATTATTTATTGTTTTCATTCTTTGTAATTTGATATGTAATATTTCTTTATTATGATTGATTTTTTTACATATGTATTTGTCTTACATATTTTGTAATTATATGTAAATGAGAAATTCCATTATGAGAGAAATTTACGAAGACTTCTCCCAACTAAAGGGAAGATGTCTTTTCAAGGATTTTCCACACAAATATTGTTTTATATTCGATAATTCTATTTGTTCCACGTTTATTTATTTCGAGTATTTTTCACCACTTTTAGCTTTTATTTTATTTTATCTTTGCAAAAATTACGAAATAATATCTTTTGTGAGGGGAATCTATGGGAAAGTCTCCTAACTGCAAAGGAAGTGCATTCCCGAAAATTGTTCACACAAAAGGTCATTCATTATCCGAAAATCGACACTTTTTGAAGAAAGTCAAATGAATAAAAGGATCGTAATTTAAATATATTTTCAAGATTGAAATTCCAAATATTTAAACAACATATAATCGTTTAGGTACCAAAGTTTGGGCGTTGTGAGGGTGCTCACCCTTCCCCACACGTAACCGACTCCCGAACTCTTAAAAAAGAATTTTTGGTAAAACGCATGCCATTTTTTTCTTTTAAGGTTTCCAACCACCCTAACTTAATGGTTGGTGGCGACTCCAAAATTAAACGTTTGAAACATTAGGCACATATTTTTAGCGAAAGATTCTTTAGACACTAAAACGTTTTTCGAAACATAATTTAGGCACTTATTTTTATATTAAGTCGCTAATAAATTTTGTGATGTTTCGGCAAGAGACATCATTTTTGTTCTAGTTATTATTAGGTGTAATTGATTTTGATAATGGATGAATGAAAAAGTGTCTAAATTCTATACTTCATTAATTTTAGGTATCTAATGAATATTTACTCAAAGTAGATGTTGTAAGCACCATTTTCATTTCTTTCCACCAAGCTTCCACTATCACATTTCTTTCCACCCACTCCACCATTCACGTGTTTCATACATCCTCCAACACATCCCACTCACAAGACAAAACAAACCAAATCCATTAAGCATTTATTTAAACAAATCAAATCCAAAAAATGGATATGTTGCCCTACCCATTATTCAAACATTAGTGGAATGACACTACTCAACAACTATAAGTGAACAAGAGGAAATCAACGAAAGGGGGGGATTCATCAACAACATGAGAAAATTCATTGTAAACAGTGTAAAGGAAACTCTTCCTCACATTTGTGGAGAGAAGTAATTGTAAAAAGGGGGCAGAGATATACGTGAAGGGGGAAAAGAAAAAAAAGAAAGAAGTGAGGGGGTTATGGTTCTCATGCACGCAGGTTTATTGGTTAAAATACCAAGCAAAAGTTTAATGCTTCATATATGGAATATTACTGAAGCATACCCTCTTGGTTTGTATTATTTTAATTTGGTCATTAATGAAGTTTTCATTATTTTCATTTCAAGTCTATTAGTTATATATAATTTTAATTTCGTCCTTACTTGTTTATATGAATAATTATGCTTATAGTTGAGATCTAACTATCTTATTTAATTTATTCATGTTTTAGTATTATACGTTTTTTATTAATTCATTTTAGTTTTTTTTTCATATAATTTGATTTTGATCATTTTATAATTATGGTGTGTATTTTATTTAAATCTATATATTGTTTTGTGAGTATTTTCATTGTTAGTATATATAGTTTGATATTTAATTATTGGTTTGATGTTGATTTTGTAGTTTATAATTACAAGTTATTATTAACATCCTTTAGCCTTCTTAATCACCACGTATGTGTAAATAATTTTATTTGTAATGTTGTTTAAGGTTTCCATATTATCATTGGTGTTTTTTTTTATACATATATATATATATATATTTTATAATTTGTATATAGTAATGTATTTTATACATTTTATTGCATATATGTATTTATTATATATACTGATTAACATTTATATATTTTTTACATATCAAGTAGTTATATACATATATAACATATTCTCATTTTTTTATAATTATGTATCTATTTATATACCATAGTTTGATCTTCATATACTCATGTATGTATTATTTATAACTAATATTTTTGAAATGTCACAAAATATTCATTTTACTTACTAATATGTTTAATATCACTTATCCGAATATATTCAAGAAAATGTATTTGCAGAACGGGTGTGGAAAGTATTACTTGATCGAAATGGTACAATCCAATATAATGTTTTAATGAAATGGTAATATTCAATAAATGAATCATATTTGAACTTTATATTCAATTTATGATTTCCATCATTATGACAATATGTAAGCGACACAGTACCAGTTTTGGGCGATGTGGGGGTGCTAATCCTTCCACGCGAGTAACTGACTCCCGAACACGCTTTAATCGAATCTTTGGTAAACGCAGACCAACTTTTTTTCTTAAAAAATGATTTTTCTTAAAATTGTTTTTAAAAGA